AACGATACAGGCCGACCCCCATCTTCACCCAAAAATAAAATAAAATAGTTATGGCGTATATATAGATAATAGTTGATAGTGTACAATAGGAAAACCAAAGAAAATACTCAAAAAACTAGGCAATATTTGCAGAGTGAATTGCGAGTCCTCGTTGGCACACAGCATAATATATCATATACGTACGGTTGGAGAATTTGGACCATAATTAGTGGGAATGAAATGGATTGAAATGGGAATTCGATAACGTGTGTTGAGAGTTAGAATTCGGATGTTAGTTAGTGATGATAGAAGAAGGGAACAGTTGACTTTGTTAGTTARAAGAATTGAAAGAAAAGTTATATCTGCAATCTCGTGTCTACGGTTGGCAAGCGTATGACATGAACGAGAGCATAGCGAACAGGATCATAGTAGTATTATTTTATTGTTTAATTATTTTTCCGTTCAGTCAAAAATGTWATCACATTGGTACACGATGACGCTGGAAAAAAAAATTGAAACAGATATCACATCGAAGATGATGACAAAAAATGTTATACACGCATCTTAAGTGTCTACCGACGATAACGCCAGTATCCATCACCATTTCATTATATTGTAATTTTATTTTTAAATTTGTATATTAAATAAATGACTATGATGTGTAATTTTGAAAATCTTAATTAACCGTTTCATGGAATTACATAGGTATACCTAACTCATAGGTACACCGTACAACTAAGAAAATTAAAATTTAATCTTTTTTTTTCAAGTGTTTGACTGGTTAAATGACCAATACTTTATCACTCATTTGTATTATTGTTCACAACTAGGTACTATAACGCGATATGTTTTATTTAACCAAACCTTATTCAAGTAAATATTAATAACTCGATATTCCTGTATTCCGGTATGAAATTAAGTTTTTTGTAAAATTAAAATTTGTGYAAAAATCGCATAACCTGATAAATGATATCATTTCTCTTTAAACTGAAAATAGTTGAATTTTAATGAAACTTTTTTTTCAAATTGTTGTGCTGTTAAATTCTATAATGTTATTCACTGGGCTTAAAAGCATTTTTCACAACACGAAAAGTATTCGACGATTTATTGAATCTTTTCTGTCTGTGACATTTTACTGACCCCAGGTATATGTTTCCACAAGAATAAACAGGAACAAACATCTTAATACATATTCTGATAACAATTGGTATTATGYGTCTGTACGCGCGTTGCCCTTTTTCCCCCTCCCCTCGTTCCGTGGACAATTGATACTCAATGACCCAAAAACTGTTTGTTAAAATTGTATTCATTCTTTTTTTTAACGTAAAATTTAAAAAAATATATCTAACATACGCAAACTGCGAGTACCATTATAGAGAACACAATTAGATATTGCGTAGGGTACCTACACAAAAGTGTTTTATCGTTCAATATATTATGAAACATTTTAACAAGTTCCATTATCCAAGTGCATCTCTCCGCKGAACATAATGATTAAATGTATAATTTATATTACGCTTTGAAGTAGGTATCATCAGTTGGTATTAATGATACGCGGTAAAATGTAATGCATCGACATGGTATAATGACTGTTGTCTAGCTTTTAGATTTCATACYAAAATATAATATTATCGATCATACTATTATTAACACTATGAAAATTATAAACCAAAACAATGTAACATTGATAACATGTTRGATTTAATATACGATCACGATACCGATAATAATATTTACCAGTCACAGAAAATAGGCGAAAAATTAATATAAGAATACCAGTAGTGATGCTCTTTTGAGTGAAGGTCATCTGGAGAGGTAAGCCTGAAGCAATAATGTAGCGAAGGGTAATTTCAGAGGCAAATGACTCTAAGATATTTCAAATTTTGGTGGGKTGGGTATCAAGGATTGTGCGTATATACATTGTAGTACATGGGTTGCCTCTGTAATATTTTTAGTTCACCACGCCACCGGTCTGAAGGACATTTTTGGAAAGATACAGGATTTACAAACATATTAAAATAACCATATTATCACTCACTTAAAACCAATTTGATTATGTAATCACATTTCATTTTATTTATACAGAAAATGTGACGTCAGTAAATTTTGAAATAATATAATTTCAGAAACAATATACACACACACAGGTGTCTCAGAAAGATCAAAAAAAAATATATATATGCTAATTAAGCGTACGACAAAAATTATTAATATTATATGATAAGTAAATAATTTAAGAAATATACTCATATTATCAAATTCTCAAAAATCATATTTAAAAATAATTTCTTACGTTCCAAATTAATTTAACCAAAAAAATATTGAATTTTAAAAAAAACTAAACTACTTGACTTAGATAAATCTTTTTTCATTCAGTTTTGTTCTTATAATCAGATTCAATTATAATTAAATATTTAATACAACAAAAGCCATTCCATATGTCAGATCATCATGAGACACACTGTATAGTATAATTCGCTTAAATACTTTTATTGGAGTCGATTGTAAATATACAAATGCGTTTAAGTAATGCAACTGGACAAACAGGTAAGTTTAGCAAGGTTGTGCAATATTGCATATATATATATATATATACTAGATACAATGTTTTATAGGTAGTTAAACTCGTGTAACTCATGCAAAATCAAAATAACTTTACAAATTACACGTAATATTTTATTAAATAAACTGCGAGTAAACTACTTAAAAATAACTGATGACAAATGATTAAAAATAAAAATAATATTAGAATATTTTTTATCTTTACAAAAGGCATACAATAATATGGAATATTATTATGTACATTAAACCCAGTGATTGGGTATAAAAGGATATATTATTTTAATGTAAGTGGCCACTACTAAAGCAATAAGTTTCGACTATTAATTATTGCATATACATATATATATTGATATTTGTTTAAAAATTATTAGAACTCTAATAAATCTTAAGCTCACATTACTTTTAAATCTGAACCGAATACTACTTATACACTATTTTTGGTTTTTAACTATATTTAGTGATCTACAGTTTTTCTGGAAAATATCCAAATAAACGTATTGACATTTAAGAAAAGTAATTTTATATTGACCTTTGACATCGGTTATATTCCATCGAACAGTTCCTTTAAAAAAATAGTTTTTAAATGCATTTAACATGTATTATTTTTATTTAGAAAATGCAAAAAACATAATATTGCTGTGGTTGCTTTCTTTAAAGCGGTTTACTTTCAAAAATTTATAATACTATTATGTAATATACTTTAAATTTATCATATCGTATCCTTTTACTGCAGTGATGTTTCTAGGAAATGTTATTTTTTCTGTTCGCAGTCGATCTCCGGTTAGTCTTTATCGTAAACAATGAAAAAGAAAATAAACTCAAGTACATCAGGTTTGAAAATATTGGTTTAACATTTCATAAAGGAAATAGGTACATCACAGTTTTTTTTTTAAATTTAATTAAATGTTAATTACTGGTAATAATTAAAACGGTAGACATCGTTAAGTACCTGCTATCAAAAAATTAACATATTATGTAAAACACGAGTTCTAAATACGTAAATGCAAGTCAAAATCTTTGAACCGTATCTATATTATACGCCGTGCTTTAATGAAACGAGTGAGCTGGTCTGACATAATATTATGACTTGGTCTCGCAGTTTAACGTAATTAACATTCTAAATCTCATGTTAAGAAGCCAATACATAAATTCATAATTATTACAAACGATGCGTGTATGATGCCATCGACAAGATTACTTATTATTATTATCATGGAGTAAATAAATTAATAATTATAACACAAGATAAATCGATAATTTTAACAAGTATTTTCGCATATTAGTAAATCACGCTGAGAGTGTACTACATAAATGTTGTTACGGATATTCCCTATCGAAGTCCGCAGAAAATTCGAAGTCATAATATTAACTAGACTCAAAATCGGTCACGCACAAATCTATCACAGTTTTCTAATGATGGCCAAAGAAGAATCTCCAATGTGCACATCTCCCTGCCCAAGTCACCATCAACCACATTCTCGCTGAATGCCGAACATACCACAACAAATTACCCGAATCATTAAACAATCACCCTCAATCCATAGCCAATATCATCCATTTCATTACAGCCGCCAATCTTCAAATCAAAATTTAGTTACCTTACACTTAGACTTATAGCACCTGCACAACATAGGTAATTTATTATTTTCTCTGTAAGCCCAATGGCCCATATTGTGTTGCCAAGGGCATAAATAATTTTTTTTTTTTTAAGTTTTGTTACTGTCTCTGTCTCATCCAGACAACTGAAAAATTATTGCACAGGGATTTGATTTTATCATAACGACTACCACAGGAGCGAATAATGACGTAGGTATTTGACTTTTTTTCCCAAATTATAGCTGACAACAGCTGAAAGACAATTCAACATCATAGTTTGTACACATAAACATACATTTACCTGCAGCATTACGTATAATAAAGTTAGAAATGAAAATATATTATCAAAGAACAACAACAACAATGATATTATTGTTACGAATTCATCGGTGTTTTGACGGTTGAAAGACCTATAAAGCTGAGCGAAATGTGTATTATAAAACCATTTGGGAATTATCAACGACCAAGATAAATAAATTCTAAGCATATATTATGTCTCAGTGGTTTGTTCTGAATATAAAATTATACACGGTTAGGTAACAGTTTATGCGAATAAATAACCGCTTAGGTTGTGTTCAGACATTTCGGTTTGCGGTTTAATTTTCATTACAACCTAATAGTTTATACGATATAAATTGTCCACTAAGTACAAACTATAGAATCGACCATCATAATAATATATTCACACTCGACACTTATTATCGGCTCCCCAAAAATTATTATTCAATGTAGATTCTATTATTAAAACGATATACATGACTGTTAAATTAACATTTAACATTTAAAATTTACATTTACATTTTATATTGACTATCAACACGAACGCGTACTCAAAGACATACCTACACAGTTATTGGCAGCAATCTCACTATTGACGAGTAAAACGTTATAAAAATATTATTCGTAAATAATGTTTTAGTCGTAAACCAAACGTGTGTTTTTATTGATAAAAAAAAATCACCTTACAATAATAGTGTTCGCTCCAGAAAATGTACTCACCTTTGCGCAAAGAATAGCAATTCTTCACCGGAGAACTAATATCTAACCATACGTGACCATCTCCAGACACGCCATGGTATAATACATATATGTAGGTAGGTACTCTACAAAAATAACGTAATGTAGGTAAGTACCTCCATCGTGAAAACAACGTTCCATACGGTTTTTGTGTCTGTCGTGCAACAACGATAAAGTGACACTCGGCGATAGGCACGACGACATGACGTTCACCTATATATTTTTCGACGCGCGACGTCTCTCGCTGTTCAAGGCGATAAAATAATAATTATTAATAATAATAGTTTATTATTATGTCACGAACTGATTACGACTGGTTAACCCGTTTTCCCAGGAAATAAAAATAACCGTCGTGTCTACGCGTCAAGGATTCCCAGTTGTGCCGCTCACAGCCGTCACCGCCGCCGACGCAGATCCATACAGAAATACGAACGGAAATATTATTATTCTAGTGCATTATTATTGTGTGGTCCGTGTGCACGGCGACACGTACATTTTTCACTGCTGCACCACCAGCGGAAAATCGAAATCGATCGTTTTTAAACAAAAAAAAAACAAAAAATTCTCTTGCCACAATGCCGTCCAACAACTTGCCCGCCGACCCGCTGAAGATCGTCCTCCAATTGACGGTGTTTGTTCTGCTGTTGGTACCTGGAATTTTGTGGGCGATTTTGAAAAAATTCATACCGGCGAAGCAGAAATGCGTCAAAGGACAAGTCGTGTTGGTGAGTCGTACTTAAGGCGCCTAACTATTATTAATAGCACAATATGCGCTGAAACACTTTATAATTAATTAAATAAAACAAAAAAAAAAAAACTATTATCACTTCAAATTCATTACACCGGATTTCGGCGATTGACTGAATTATAATAGTGCGTTTGTCGTCACGAAACGTGAGCCAAGTCGAGTAATAACGCAACGAGATATATATATATATATAGATCATAATGTTTCAATATTTATAAAATGTTAAAAAAAACAAAACAAAGTTGTATAATGTATGTAGATACAATGTACGGTATATTATGGCATTGCTCGTTACCACGGTCGTTTGCCACTATCCATGAATAAATGATATATTACTATTAAATGTTTTTGAAAACTAACGACAAAAATAATTTCAAGGTCCCTAGGTAGGATCGTTGCTTACTCGCATATTGTAGTTATCACTTGTCATAATCACTATTGGCACACATGTGCATGTCCATAGGCTCAAGGTAACGTACGTCAACCGATCATGTCACGGATCAGACGGCAGTCGACTTTTTTCCATATTGAATTAAAAACCTCTTATATTTTCAATATTACACTTGACGATTTTGTTTTCTTTCTTATGGGATGTGTTGCTGAAATTTAAATAAAACCAAGTGGATACACCTAATAATATGATATGATTGTCATAAATGACTTAAAATAATAAAATAAAATGTAATAATCTCACGATCATAAATCCACCTGTTGCGTTTGTTGTGGACCGTTAAAGTTTCATCGCTCTAAGTCGTAAGTTCGTTGCCCAATCTTTGTTACCTTTATAATCTATACGCAATTCAAATATTATTGGAAATTTATATTTCACATTAAACTTCTGCAGTTGCCATTGTTGTAGAGAGACGTAAGTCTTTTCACTATAAATAACTAATTTTAATTCACCGGGTGAGTCTTATAACAGTAAATACTCATTGTACCTACTCTGAAAAGTAAATGTATTCGTAAATAAGTTTTTTTAAATATATTTTTACATCATTTTAAGTCATAATCGTACTGTACAACATTTTCGAAAAATAAAATATCTTTTACTATTTTATATTTATGATTTCATTTTTTGCTTTATTTGAATGATAGTATAAATATTATTTTAATTTCATATTCCAAAAACAATAAAAAAAATTATACTTTTCTTAGAATCAAATTGTAATTTGTATAGCGGTAGTGCGAGAAGACTACACTGTTTATGATTTATCAAATAACACAACGAAAAGGTCAACAGGATTTTTTCCATCTTTGATAAATCTAGTTATTACTCGCATTACAAAATATATGATATAGCTACACGATGTATGTCAAGTTATATAATGGTCTAGTATGAAAAAGAAATGCTTGTATACATCTGAATAGCAGTGTTGTTTACTTGCTTTGACCGCGTAAAATAAACCGTACAACTTTTAAAACTTTTAGTTTTATTCGAAGGTGATATCAAAAATATAATATACGCTTAACGGCTATGCAATAAATCGTCTCGGTATCGATGGACTGCTTAATTTTATCAGAAGTCATAATGATCGCAGACAATATTTTTGTACATCGGCAAAATAGTGTACCTATTAAATCAGCAAGGTGAAACGTCTCAATATCCAGTGATTATTTTTCTCAAAGTTGCGATGTTCTGATACGATTGATACGATATGATATTAGACTATAATAATAATTAGTGCGCGGATTTTTATGCTACAGTATATTTTTTCTTTTTAAAATTTTTGCGATTTTTGCCAGTAGGTAATCTTAAGAAATCAAAACATTTTGAAACTAATTGAAAATGTATTTTCGCAAGTTAATGCATATTTAATGGTCATTATTAATATTACATATTTCGTCAAAACTCAAAATAATTGCATATCTGAGAGAAAATTATAAAACTTATTTAACACTATTTCAAATAATATTTTGTCAAGCGGACGATTTAATGAGGTTAATTATATTATTTAATTATAAAATCAAAAATTATTTTTGTTTATTAAGTAGTTACATATAGTATTAATAAATCACAAGTTGTTTGGTTTGTTTTAAATTATTGTAAGATTGAAGCGTAAGTGGTGTCGTGATCTCTACAATTTATTATCAAGCTAATAGAAAGGGTGGCTTTTTTCAACAAAACCTAATGATCTGTTAACTTTTATCACATATTCTTATTGTGTCTAGTTCAATTGATACAAATTGTATATTACTTGTAAAAATAATAACAATACAAATAAATAAGTAAGTCAGGTAAAATAATTTTTGAATAAAAATTATGATTCTCTTACCATATTACACGTCTTAAAGGTTTTGCTCGCATATAATTTCCATTTTGACCGCATACTATGTAGGTATGGCATGTCTTAATATTTTTTTAAAGAATTATATAAATCAACGCTCCAATAAAAGTATTAAGTACCTACGATTTGCATTAGGCCACCTTTAACGATTGGAAAAACATTAAATTTCAAATATTATAAATCTTCAGAAGATAAAACATGCAGTGTATCGCCATCGCGTGCATACCTTATACCTATCAAATGGTTTGAGTCGCATTTGATTTGTTCTCTTACCGTCAAAGCACGTTTCGACCATTATGAACGGGCTTCAAAAAACATAACCCTAAATAAAAAAGCATAGGCATTTCATGCAAATAAAAGGTACCCTATATCCATGTACGACTGCAGCAGTTATCTAGATCAAGCTTGTATTTTTGCTCTTTGACAGTGAGAAATATTTTTAAAAACGTCTTTACGTTATACCATACACTCATACAAACGCACACACACATGTATATATCGTATATATATATAAACGTAAGTGCATAATATGAAGAATGTATTTTTTGAACACCTAAAACGAACCGCGGGCGGTCTATTTATTTAAATGCAATACAATACGACTGTTCGTGTTGTGTAAGGAAATCGCTAAGGGTCGTTGTGCTCACTATACAGTTTATCTAAAATAACAAGTTTATAACACGGATGAAAATACCGTAAAAAAATATACGTTATAGGCGAGTGTTATTTTTTCATATTTATGAATAAACGAAATCGCAATACGGCGAAACAAGCGCGAATAAAATAATACGTAAATGTTGACGGTAAAAATATATTTTTAGTTTTAATTATGTTAAAGCTATTTTTATTTTTTTATTTTAGTGAACATTTTACACTATAGTTATTTTCAAATGATGATGTCTGTTTATTTACTAAAATACCTCGTTGAATACCTATATGTTTTTCGATATTGTAAAACATACACGCACGTAACAACTACAAAAAAAAAAAAAACTGTATCAACATTTGTGTTGTAATGTTTTATCACATCAAATATTTATGAAAAATGTTTAACAAACGTTAACAACCATTTCCGATGCAATGATATTATTAGTTATTTATTTATTTACAGATTATTGAAAATTACAATATCAATCGAAATTATCATATTTAAATCGTATTTAATTGCGCTGTACGCAGTATTATATTAAAACAGTATGCACATTTAGAGTAATATAGCAATATCATTAGGAAACTATAGGTTATTAAGTATGTTGATTCTTTACAATATCGAGTAGAATATATGAGATTTTGAAAAAAGTAATCATTTTATAATCTGACTTTTATAAAGTAGATATTTATATACTATTTAATGATATCTTATGATGTTTTGTCAATTACACCTATTTATTTTTTAACAAAATCATTTTAATTCGAACGCAATGAAAAGAACGGTCGGTATTATTAAAAAAAATAAAATTGCACATTATTAACGATTGATCTATTTTTAAAATTTTTTTCTTAGATCACTGGTGCTGCTCGGGGAATAGGTCGTGAACTTGCGACTAGTTTTGGTAGACTTGGTGCAAAAGTCGCTTGCGTGGATATCGATGAATCGGGAAACTATGAAACGGCTCAAATAATAAAAGACTGCGGGGGCGTGGCCACTAGCTACATATCTGACGTTTCGAAAAAGGAACAGATCAAAGATCTGCACGCAAAGATAAGAGTCGATTTGGGCCCGGTTGACATACTCATCAACAACGCTGGAATTGTGTGGGGACATGTATACATCGATCCGGCAAAGGATCAATTCATCACGGACCAGGTCAATGTCAACTTAATGGCACACATTTGGGTGAGTTGTATTTACCTGATGGAAACTTTTAGCTATTTCCTTGGTTATAAATTATAATACATAATATAAGGACATAGGGGTATTTATATGTGAGTGAAGGCTTTTGACGCCCAGTAAAATCCATAAAATAACTAGTTTAAAATGTATTTCTTAAATCTTCAAGAAAGAAAAAAAATTTTTTAATGGTATAAAAGAAAAAAAAGTAATTAAAAATCGGGACCCAGACACACAACATTGTAAAATCAATATACATTAATTGCTCCGCCCACAATCTAAAAAGTAGTCTATTAATAACATATTAGGTGTTCTAACGTTTCAGTCTGAAATCATAATAATTGAAAAATACATTTTAATTAATTAACTATCTAACCATGATTTTTTTTTCTTTTATACCATTTAAGTTGAAAAAATATGCTTAAGATTAATCATAAAATACAAAATGAGAAAATGCTGTAAATAACAATTTAAATATGAAAAGCGAATATTTGTTTAGAAGTGTGTAAATAATAATAAGAGAAAATTTATGTACATAATATGTTTAGCTGGCCGGCCGTGTAGGCAAGGTTGAAGTCGCTGAAGAAAAACTAAAATAAATGTACTGTTAACGTCTCTTTAGTTATATTTTATAAGAACAACGGTTGGCAAATGCGGACAAAAACTCGTTTGCCACCATCTGGCCTCGGTGTCCTACCTATATCATATTGATGGTTTTTATTACGACACTAAATATAGGTATTTATATAGTAGATGAAAATTGTGATTTTCGCAAAATGCTTTTAAAATTAAAAAAAAAAATTCCTTGTTGTATTTTTTTTTCTCAAATTTAAATAAAATTTAAAGTTAGGTACATCAAAGTAATTAGTATTGCTTGAGACACATTCTCCACTAAAGGTGTCCGGTGACAATGTAAATTGGCCCCCAAAAATACGCTCTACGTGAATGACGATCCTTCTCCTTAGAATCAACCAAATTTTGTAATTTTTTTTTTCAACTAATAGATTCATATTGAAAACCATTTAATAATAATTAAATCTCAAACTCCGTGATATTCCTTTTAAAAATAAGAAAATTTTAAGTTTTTTTGTACAAATTATTTTATACCAATATTTGAAGTAAATAAAAAATCGGATTTCGATGTGGCGTGCATGAAGTTTTCTTGTTTTAGACAAAATAATAGCTATCAAAATCCGATCATTCTACAAGACCTGATAATTTTTCACGTGAAGTAATTTTTTTCGATAAAATCCACAACCCCTCCCCCCACACATACACGCTTAATAAGTATCTAACCGTGGAAAAGTGTTATAATCAACATGGCAACCAACATATAAAATATAATTATTGATTTTTAAAGAATTTTAGGGGGAAATTTTAAAAACCGGCATCGGCCTGACTTTTTAGGGCACCTGAAAAAAAAATGATTTTGCTAAAAAACACCAACTCCAGTAAAGTTATAAAATAATAAATTATTACAATCAAATATGGCCCGTTAGCAGTTTAACTGCGAAACGTTGAACGGTTAATGTTCATAAGATAATACTACATAAATCCAATGGTGATCAATGCGGTAATAATTTTGTTATTGTTGTATTTTCCCGTAGATGAACAGAGAAATTCTTCCATCGATGCTTGAGAGAAACCGCGGACAAATTGTAGCCATGTCTTCGATGTCTTCGATGTCCGGTGTAGCCGGTATTTCCACGTACTCGGTTACCAAATGGGGTTTAAATGGTAAATATTTATTAGAATTATTCCATCCCAGAGTTTCACCATACGCAATCCGAAGGATTTTAGAAAACGGTTTTACGCGTCGGCTCTTGAAGCAATCAAACACTGATATATAAATCTTTCACCAAGCCAGTGAACCTTAAATAATATTAATTACAACGCCCAGAATAAAACTGTCGAGACAAATGATTTTTTTTTTTTTCTTTTTTTCAATAACTTTTACAGATAATTGAGGGTGATATCATTGAAAAAAATTAAGAAATTGAAAATAGTAGGAAACGATTTTCTTCATTTCAAGTTGTTTCTGACCAGCCGTTCATAATATCGTATCGTGTTCTGAATATTTTAAAAATATTAAAAACTATATGATAAGAACATTTTTTTTTTTAATTCATCCATTCTGCAGGGGTTATTGATGTCAAATTATTATTGTGTTCGATTGTTTACCCGCATTTTGTATACGACGCGTAAACAAATATAAATTTATTATTCACGATTACACTTAACGTACGCAGGTATGATGGAATGTTTGCACAACGAATTGAAATTGTTCAACACTGACGTGAAGACAACGAATATATTGCCTTATTTTGTGGAAACCAACCCGAAGGTTTCGTCGTTTTTAGATCTCAGGTATGAAACACATAGACGCGATGCCTACGATACTATACGATATAGTGACTAGCTGTGTAACGTTTGGATTTCGCGTTACATATTATTATATAATATCATTAAATAATATTATTGTTTATTGATGGCCGACAAACGTTTGTTTAGACTGCCCGAAATACCTATCCATGTAGCTGCCAGTGAAATGATGAAAGGAATACTCGAAGAACAGAGGATATTCTCGGTTCCCGGACACATGCTGACATTGGTGTCGATAATTAGGTAAGAGAAAAACTTAAATCTCCGCCCTAAACGTTCTCCTAACGTTCATATAGACGTAGTGTTGTACGCGGGAAAAGTGTAACGATCCCCAGTCGGAAGATCAATTTAGTTAGATGGAAGATAGACAAATATCGATGATTTATTGTAATGGTATGAATTTAATATTAAGTCCAAAAAATTATTTAATGAAATTCGACAAAGTCCGAATAATATTTTATATAGAATTTCGTCCAAGTCGAAATAATTGACTGCGGATGAGCGAGATGGGACTGAGTGTGGTGTGGTCTTCTGGTCGACAAGTCGCTATAGTCGTCTTGTTGTACGTCTGACGATCGTGTCGTCGACGAGCTCCTCTCGTTGAGAGAATCCCTATAATCCCCGCTACAGTTAATATCCCCGTATATGTCATATTCGTAGTCATAAAGCAAGCGCGAGTGGCTATACACGCACCACACAACCGGATGTCCCTTGCACATTTATTTTATAGTGCGATACCCGTTTACGCAAAACACACAATTCCTGCTTGACCTACTTTAATGAATATTCACATGAGTAGTGATTTATATGTAATGCCATCACGTGAATTATTATTAATGAAATCGTCATTACGCCGTTGTGCGCTCTATCACTATTATTATTATGGATTTATAGGTAAATATAGGTAAAGTCACAGCTCGCTACAAAAGTCACATACACCTACACAATGTATTTTTATGTTATTTTCTTCCAGGCTGTTACCAGACAACCTGCAACTGCTCTTCAACAACATATTTCACGTCAAAATCCTCAGAGAACCATCGGACGAATTAATTATAAATAAATATAAACGATAAAACTGAACAAGTCCGAACTGACTTGTTGTTAAATTAATAATTTATTTTTAAATAATTACAGTAGATTATTGTTGTTTTAAGATGCTATTAAATGTGTTTAAAATGTATTATTAGTTACAGTAAGTGGAGAAATTACTCGAAACACTAACAGTTATTATTATTATAGTGACATCAAGCTGTATCAGAAGAAGTGGCAATTTGACTATTAACTCTGCCCCTTGATAAATTGCCGGCATCTTGTTGCTCGCTGAAATTACATAAATCGACTATTCTTAAGGCGTTCTGCAAACCAAAAGTAAAAACGGTTTTAAGTTAAAAACATTTTTTTTTGGTGAGATTATGCGCATGAATAATAGCTATGTTTATTAATTTATTTCTCATTATTACGCAACTGCTAAGATTTGTGTCAAGAAAACTTTTCTATAACCTATGTATGTTTAATTTATAAGCCTCTCACTAACTATTATTGTAATATATATCTACACACCAAATCATATTATGTATTTGTCATTATGTGTCGTCACACATTTTAAGTAAATTTAAACATTTTCATTTTGTATACCATCAAAATTTAAGACAATATTCCATGTCACGCGTGGGTATCGTATTCATTTGTGCGCAGTTATAATTACAAGAAGCGTCGATCTCTTGCATTATAACGGACTTATCTACTGAAAACATACCTAATATTATATTATTACTATAAACGAACAAGTGTTATTTTTGGCTAAAATTGTATACATTTTGTTAATCATAATTTATTACAGATCGACATTTTTGAAATTCATTATTTAACATTATTATATTGTACACCTATTATGCATAACTAAATGTATTTAACATTTTTTAAATTTTCCAAGTCGAATGGCATAAAACCTAACGAGATAAAAAAATCGTTTCCGATAGTAAATTAAAAAATAAACTAAATATTTAGAGAGACTATAATATATTATTCAATACTTATTCATTATATTTGATTTTCATTTCAGCATTATAGCTATATTCACGATTTAAAATCCGAGGCTTTAGCTCATTTGCTCAGTATTATGTCGTAGAGTACCTATATCTACTTAAATAAAACGTGATTTCAGCACCGACAAAGTCAACATGGCCGTACACAACTTAAGTTTAATAACAAAAGATCCACTCGGTACTTACAAAATCCATGGTATAAATTATTGCATGTACGTATTTTAATGACTTAAAGTAATATCACGATGCGATATATATCATTATATTATGTAGTGTTGGGCTCGACCCCGAGCATATTCACTGAGTATTAATATTATTGAAACAATTTTAGTTGATAAATTCGCTACAGTATTATGAAACTAAAAAATACTTACCTGAATTCAGTCATTACGTTAAATTCAATGTGGAATTGCAATCAAACATATTGTTTGACAAGCTTATAAAAGTAATAAGGTGCTGAACTCTATGCTACAACCTAAAGACAAGAAGAATAGTTAAGTATTATAGGAACATATCAATTCATTATAATACTGTGTGATATAATATCATGAATATCATTTTCCAAATATCAATCGGCAATGACATTTTAAGCACATTTTTAATATTATAGCTTATAGTTATCACTATAATAATTGTGGTTCAGGTTTGTTTTGAGCTGAAATAAACCGAAACAAGCTATTGTAATTGATTGGAAAATAGGCCAACCAAAAGTGACAATATAAGTTCCATTTTAATTTGATTTTTTTTTTTTTCAATCAAATATCATATATTTTGTTTTAAATATAATTTATTACAAAACAATAGCCTGTGGTCGATTAAATACGACTCAAATACTTGTTTGCACAGTTAAATTGATGGACAGTTGAAGGCAAAAACTAGTTGGAATTTTATATATCTTAAAACGTCGTAATTATTTATAAGTGTTTCTAAAATCCGTTTCTATATTATAAGCTCCTGTCGGATAAAAATGTTTCCCAAACTGTTAACGTTTTAATCAGTTTCATTACGATTCTAATTTAACTCGATTAAACCGAACATTTCACTTTCACTCTCCTTAATGGCCATCACCACAAATTCGGTATTTCTCACTTCTCTGTCGTACATGCTTGATCTGACCACCACAGTTTCGTTCCCTCTTATTTGATTTCAAAATTTGTTATTTTCGTGACCTTATTAAACGCACTCATGCATTTCGCCAAAAGTTACAAAATAAAATGACATTTCTAATAGTTTACAAGCAAAAACGTTGACATCACATAAGTATTATTATTTCTACTAAAATCGACGACTATATTATTATTATTTATTCAGAATCAGGCTTCAACAGCCAGGTCATTAGCCTACGGTTGTAGATACAATATTATTAATGGACACTTGAGCTATGATTTTATTGTTACACGATTACAGATTTACATTATATTTGGTATGCGTAGATTTATTTTAATATTTAAATTTTTTTGTCGATGCCAATAGATTTGAAGAACCTGTGGGACTATGTATTATTATATAAATATACCAACCTATGATAACTATACGAATAAATACGATTGTTATTTTTCCGATATAATAAAATATTATCAGGTCTAGGTGTGAACCATATAAACGTGCAAAGTGATTGATAATAACCCGGTGTTGATCTCGTTTGACGACTAGACGTTTTATTTTTCTTGGTAATATGTCAAGACACCTTGAAACCAGACAACGTCCAATAGTTACGCCAGTACATCTACGAGACGTATTCAATAAATTAACGATGTCACGGATACAATCAAGATGAGTATCGTCCGTTCGGYTTATCCCATTTCATTGTCAACGACCTCCTACTCCATATAAGAATAAATGATTCGATCACCTCTCTCTCCCTGCATGAACTCATTCCTCGTTAGAGTGTCAGACAATACCCTTAGAAGTGTATATCTGTGTCGAACAATTAACTTATGGTTTTATTTCATATTTTCAAATTCAATTTTTGACGTGCCAAATCACTTTTTTTTCTGTCCCGTAATTGGCGTAATTATTTGTTATTTTGAATTCCATAATCTGTTCAGTTTACGAGAAAGTTGGCTAACACTGACAACGACCCTGCGTTCATTATTTGAAAATTATTTAAAGTTTGTCTCGTCACAATAGCTAGACGTTCGGTAAGAGCCCACCGTACGTCACAATTATTTATTATTAACGTATTACACACCTCGATGAAAAAAAATGTTCGAAATATCGTTATTTTTAATCATTAAAACGTGAAATTATTTTAGACTTTGACACTAACGATTGTTTGAACACCGATAACTTAATAATAATTACTATGTATTCTAGAAAAAGGTTAAAAACAAATAGAAATCAATTCAGTGTTCTTTGGGGAAGATTAATTATACAGTTTATAGAGTAAACGACGTTTTGGTTCGTAGTAAAAAAAAATTATATCCTTAATAATTGTCCATTTAAAAGCTGTGCAGTTAATCCGTGAAATTGATCAACGATGATTAAAACATTTTCACAATTTTTACAAAAATTGGCATGTTATTATAATAATGATTTCGTAGTACAATATTATGGACGCTTCTACTATTATAAATACTACACCTAAATAAATAAATTATTCTTTCTGTACCATCGAAAAATAATTTATCTCGTACCATATTTATTTATCGRTGTAAATTACTGAATTTTGTTATAAATATCCATTGTAATTAATTGCACTTACCAATTATTCTAAATGTTAAATATTGTTATTATCATATCAATAAGTTTGAAGGATCATGTATGTTAGGAACACTTTATAATGATTTTAAAAAAAATTATTATAAAAATCGTTAATCATTAGTCATTATATAAATTGTTATGCCTACTCAAAACGGAAATTGTTTCAAATGATTAAATTTGACATTAAAATGATACAGATACAACATAAAAATATCATATTTTTAATGACAGTTGATAAGCATGCATATTACACCCAATATTATACAAATAATTTGATAAAAAAAAAATTCAAATAATTCAACTGCAATTTCAATTTTAAATATCTCCATTTTTATTTTATTTTTATTATTATTCTTAAACCGTATACCTATTTATACAGTCTAAATAAATAAAAAAAATTATGAATAATTGAAAACACTACAGATATGATTATAATTATATTTACTGATACATTATTTTAATGAACGCATAATTTGTATTTATTTTACTTCCAATAATAATTATAATAAATTAAATAAAAAAATATATCAAATTATATTTGAGCATAAGGAAGTTCGATCACTAGATGGTTTTTTCCCTCACTCTATTCATGTTTCTCTAAATCATATTGTAGCACATATTCTTATTATGCCTTTTTGTATGGATTCGGTAACAAAAAAATTTACTTCCAAAAGTTAATGGTACAATTAAGTTACTTAAATTAATATAAATATGTAGTATATTAATTTGATATCATGATCACAATTTTTCAGGTAATCAATACCATAACTGCTCACAATTTTTAATTATCTGTTTCAAAATCATCTTGTAAAATCAATAAAATGCTTTTATGAATTATATGAAGTGTAATACTAACACACTGTATGTTGCACCAACGATATACAAGACGTGTTGTGGCAAGATAATATTTAAAACTAGAAGAAAATTTAAAACATAGCCTACAATTGTATTTTAAATAATAATTTTTTTTTTTTACCTATTATGTCGCATTAATTGCCTACCATTTGAACAGCAATAGGCTTTCACTTATACTATATTAGTTGATAGTTCATTCAGATGAATAAAGAAATACTTCCTTCGGTGTCGAACAGAAATAGTGGACACATTGTATTAATTTCATCAGCGATATCAATGGTAGGAATAATCATTCGCTGTCCGATTATAGAATGCTTCGATGTGGGGCATAACAGGTGAATTAATATATAAATATTTTTTTATTTAAGCATGATTCTTGATATTATTATTAATTATTTAAGCATGATTCTTGATATTATATGTTATTATGTTTTTTTAAATCTCGCTAATTTCATAACTACTTATAACAAAAAAAAATCGTGAACAACAGTAGGTAATCAAAATTACAATTATAACGATATATGTATTATTCTAAATATGTTTTTTTAAGAGGTTGTTAGCACACTATTTGTTTTCTCTCACCAACGTTGTCAACCCCAAGCACAACATATGCTTTACGTGTTCGTACAAAATAGTTTTTTTTTTATGTTTTATAAATTATCATAGCACGAAATCAACGGAAGATTTGACTTATTGATCTTGTGATTTTTTAATGTTTAACTTTAAATCCAATATCTTTTTTTGTATAGATTTAAATGAATATTAAAATWTTTTAGACAATAGCATTTTGTCTATGTTGCATTTATACCTAAGAAACATAACAAGCAATGTACTGGCATACTCTTAATATTGATTGAACAATGCAACCAATTGCAAACACAAAAGTTAAAGCGTAAAAGTGCATTATAATTTTTGCTGGACAATTAGCAACACCTTATCTAGCCTAACCTTTACAATAAACATTCGTTATCTTGAAAAATATTAGCGTTTTTGAAAATATTTAAAACTATAAATGTATAAATTGTTTTAAATTTTGAACGACAGACTAAATTTTAAATATCAACACTTAATAGGTATAAAACTGTTTAAAWCACTTAGTGATTACTGTTAAAAGGAATACTACACATAGTATGTAATTCGTATACAAACTTTTTGAATTTGTTACATATTTCGTATAATTGACTTAAACACCTTTTATACAGGGTGATTCTTTTAAGTGGGTACACGAATCATCTCGAAAAGTATTTACTTTTTCAAAATATTTTTTACATGGTTTCAAGTTGTTAAAAAACCAACGTTTTTATTAAAAAATTATATTTTTAAATATTTTTTATCCTTATCATTTTTAAGTTTTTACTTTTTTGAATGACAACATGTAGAGTTTTAATTTCATATTCCGAAGCAGAATATTTTTCTAAGTATTTTGATTCATAAAAATCGAATTTAGGACGAGTAGTTTATGAGTTATATGTATTTAAAGTTCAGTCAAGCGGAGTACAGTGGACAAACATTTTGCGGGGTAACCCCGTACCATTCCACTCTGCCAATCTAAACATTAAATACTTATAACTCAA